TTTATAGGAATGAAAGTTTTGGCTGTTAACAACATTGATGCGCCATCAGAATATCCTGATGGTGGTATTAGTGTTAGTATGATTATAACAAATGCGTCTCAGATCATAATAGAGTTAGCCAAAACACCTTTTGATATCATATAAATGAATCAAATTATTAGTAAAATTTCTTCAACATGTTTTCAACCGATCGTAAAACACTTTCATTCAGTGGATGTCTACTACCAGCAAATACTAAAGAGGAGATAGATGCGATGACTAATGCATTTTACAAAATTTTATCTAGTGAAGAATTACAGCTTACCTTTGATGCAAGAGGATCTTCGGTTTCTTGGTTAAATAAAATCACACTAACTGTAGTTATTACCAAAGAAACAAAGATCAATTTCAATTATGAATTTATTAAGAGTGCATGGGACTTTAAATTTGATCCAAATGATCAAAATTCTCCAAAACTATTTTTACAATACGAGCTAAAATACACTAATTTATTTCCACTAGGGATTCACAGAATTTCTGGAAAAATTGTCTTAATTTATAAAGAATCACAATTTGCAATACTTAATGTTCCATACCTTTAAGCATCGTTGAATCAAGCTTTAAAACAAAACTTAAAATATCCGCAGAAGATTCTAAAGATTTATTTGTGAAATTGCAAGAAAATTATTAATGGAAGATGATGTTATTTTCACTGTAAAATGGGAACTAAATATAATGGAAAATACTCCAGTAGGTGATATCGAGATGAAAAAAATCCAATTTAATTTCGACAAAAACATCAAATGTCAAATTCAGCCAGAAATAAGAATAAGCTCCATGGAAATTACTGATGCAACAAAAGATACTATCGAAATTAGAGCATTAGCTACTATTACTAATCCATCAAATATTGAAATTGATCTTGGTAGTAATGTCAAATTTTATCTTATTTCTGACCAAAATATTAAAATTGCAAATTTGATAATAGAAAACTTTAAACTAGGACGTGAAAATAGAGACGTTATTGTTAAACTAAAATATTTGCCAGATAAAGATTCTGGATATAAAATTATAGACAACTATTTAAATAGAAGAATTAGTTCATTATCTATTAAAGCAACTAATAAAACGACTTCAATATATCCTTACAAAAAGTTTTTGAAACTTTAATGTTAGAAGTTTTGTTTCCAGTGTTAGATGGGTTATTTGTTAATAAAATAGAGTTTTCTTTACCTGCTAAAAACTCATTGATGCTTCATAACCCACTTAAAACTAAATTACATTTATTGGTTTAAATTTTTAAGTGTTGAATATGAAAAAGAACAAGCGAGCTGCAACTGTAATAAAAGAGCCATGTGATGAAGGAATTGTTATTGAATCAGGACAAACTAAGAGAATTACAATTGAAAATACACAATTGGACGTAGAAAATGTTATTAAATCTATTACCGGAGTTATTGCTGATGTTAGAGAAAACATTGAGGGTGTAGTTGATGGTCCTAGAGAAAACGTTGAAGGCATTGCAACAATTGGAATCGGTAAAAATAATCTTTTTAAATCTAAAATCAATTATAGTAAGTAAATTTATAATAATGTTTAATGTTAGTAACTAGGTGTATTATTTGATATTGATTTTATTTGTTTATTTAGTACAACAAAACGTTAAAGCTGGATATCTCTAAATGCATTCTCTATAAGTGCACCCTGGTCCTATACTTGGGATTTATTATTAAATGCACTCTCTATATCCTGCATGTGCATGAAAATTTTCTACCCGTGTTGTGAAAATTTTTGTTGATTTTTCCATGTATATATCTATTTTTCTTGTATTTCGTTATGAAATGGCTGTGTGTGGGAGATCTGGGTTTGAGACTACAGTTCGTGGTTCAAGACCGCATATTTCGGTTTGCAATCCGTCTACGGCAATTTAAAATGTATAAATATGACACCTAAACTAATAAGTTGAGGAGGTGGTTCGAAAGTATCTGGTATATTGCATAATAAATAAAGTAATAACGTATTTTAACTTTATCTACCAACTGAAAATACATTCCTTAATAACCCACCATCATTAAATCCGTATCCATAAATATCCATCCCACATAACCTATGTTGTAACACTAAGCTAATTTGACATAACATTAGCCAAAGTCTCTCCCATGATTACGATTTCTGTTATATAAATAAATACCCATAAATGCACTTCTACGTGATTTGCTATTTTAAGTAAATTATACATGCACGATTGTATGATTGGGAGTTTCGAAATTAACAAGTGAAACAGAAAACAAGTAGAATTTTTAAATAGCATTTATACTATGTCGAACTATAAGTCAGAAAAATAAAATAAGATTCTCTGATTTTTAATTTTGAATCTCCATTATTATTAATTAGATCTACAGATTGTTAGTTGGTATATACAGTAAGCCGAAAAAAATAGGTTTAGTCTACACTGTATAATGAAATTTATATTTTATTATGGAAATGTTATATTTAAATATGTGCTAGTTGTAAACCCGTACAATAATATATGAGAAAATTTTAAATTTAAAATAATTATATATATAAAGTTTAATTTATTTAAATCTAAAAATTAGTTATTTTAAACTCAAAGTTAAGTTACTTTGAACCTGAGGTTGGTTCAAAGTTGGTCTACTTTGAACCCAAAATTGGTCCCCTTTAAACCTGAAGTTGGTTCTCTTTGAACCTGAAGTTGGTCACTTTTGAATCTGAAATTGGTTCTCTTTGAACCCAAAGTTGGTCCCCTTTGAACCTGAAGTGGGTCCCCTTGAACCCGAAGTGGGTTTCTTTGAACCCGAAGTGGGTTCCCTTTGAACCCAAAGTGGGTTCACTTTGAATCCAAAGTGGGTTCCCTTTGAACCTGAAGTGGGTTTCCTTTGAACCCAAAGTGGGTTTCCTTTGAACCCGAGGTGGGTTCTCTTTGAACCTGAGATGGATTCCCTTTGAACCTGAGTACAGATGCCACCAAAATTGATTTTTGAAAAAGGCCTATTTCATCTTCATTAGAGCAAATTAAAATTTTTTATGAGAAAATTTTATATTTATATTCTTTATAATTTTGTCTATTCAAAAAAAGTGTCAAAAAACTTTGTCTTTCTAGTAAAATAGATTCAAATTAATTTTATCTTCAAATTTTAATTTCAGGTTTTAGAACCCAAAATAATTTTGTCAGCATGTATAAACCTGAGATAGGTTTTCTTTGAAGGTTCCTTTTAAACCTAAGGTGAGTTCACTTTGAACCTGAAGTGGTTTACTTTGAATCTGAGGTGAGTTCACTTTAAACCTGAAGTGGGTTCCCTTTGAACCTGAAGTGGTTCACTTTGAACCTAAGATGGGTTCTTTAAGTAAAGATTGGAATCGGTTTAGTTGACTAAAAAATTTTTATAGTAAACTACTATGTTTAGTCGACTAATTAGTTGACTAAACATAGTAGTCAACTAAACCGATTTCAATCTCTATCTTTAAGTTTGTGCAAGAATTTATTAAGTAAAGATATCTTGAAGATCTAAATAAAGTTGTAGAGGAGAAATCAGGCCAGTAGTTTTTGAGATATATAGAATTAAAGATGTAAAGATAAAGATTAACAAATTTACTATTACACAAAAACAATATTTTGTGTAATAGTAACTTTGTCAGTCTTTATATTTGTGTCTTTAACCTAAGATATATCAAGAACTACTGGTCTGATTTTGACAATCCAACAACTATTTAACTCAGAATAATCACCTCTACAACTTTATCTAGATCTTGAAGTTATCTTTACTAAATAACTTTTTGTATAAATTTAAAGAAATTACAAAATTACAAAATAGCAAATCTAATGTAATACAATTTAATAGGATTATTTATATTAGTAGTCTAAATATTATTATTATACAAAATACAAAAATATAGTTTTTATATATAATATTGAAATAATAATATTATATAAATTTTTTTAATAATTAGATTTGTTAATATATAAATAGATTATATATTGTTATACAAACTTTATTAGTATTATAAATTTTTTTATATATAGAGAAAATTTTTATATTATATAGAAATTTTTTTATTATAAATCACTATATATAGTATCTAGTTTCATTCAAGAATTTTATTTTAAAGTTGAATAGTACTAGGTACTAATTATAAATTTATTGATAATATTAATAAATTAAGTAGAAGAACATTATTTTTAAAGAAGTACTGGCCTATATTACTGACTTATTTTTATCTTACTATTATGTTACACGATTTAGATACCCAGCAAAAGTAAAAATTAATAAAAATATTAATAGAGATATTCAAACAACTATATGATTAATTTTTTTATTTGAATTCTGTGAATTTATATAATGCAAATAAAAAATAATTATTGATTTTGGTCAGATAGATGTGGAAATAGATATCTTTACTCAAAGTTAGAAAATTAATTATAGCAACAAAATTTGACTAGCAAATCCTCAATTTTGATTGGCTAATAGCTAAAAATCTTTCAAATTTTGGCCTACATTACAAAATTATTTACTAATTTCTGGCTGGAATTAACTTTTTAAGTTTTTCATTACAAAAAATTCTTAAAAATAAGCCTGCATTATGATAAAAATGACACAGAAAAAATTTTTACTTAATAGATAGCTATAGTTTTATTAGTAAAATTATAAGTAATTCTTGCTTAGTTTTTTTATTATTACTTATATTTTGATAGGCATTTTGGTTTTTTCTAACTTTGAGCAAAGTTATTTCTATAACTACCTGACCAAAATTAATAAAAATTTTTTATTTGAATTCCATATATTTATAGAATTCAAATAAAAAAAGTTTTATCAATTTTGGTCAGGTATCACACTTGCACTTGTTTTGATAAGTAGTTTGATTTTTTTTATCTTTATACAAAGATATCCCCACAACCAGTAATGGGTTTGGGACAGTTGAGATCTATATTGGGACATTTTGAGATATTTTGAGACAATTTTATAAATTAAAATTACTCGAAATTTTATTAAAATAATCTACTTTAATTTTTTTAAAAATAGATTCAGCATCTAAAAAAATATATAATTGTATATTTTTAAATTAATTTATTAATTATTAAAACTTGGGACTTAGTTGGGACATTTTGGGACACTAGGATATTGGGACGTTGGGATGTAGCAAAAAAGCTTGGGACACTGTCTAAACCTATTACTGCCTACAACCACTTGACTAACATCAATAAAAAAAAATTTATTTAAATTATTTAAATTCTACAGATGACAGAATTCAAATAAAAATTTTTATCAGTATTGGTCAAATATTTGTGAAAATATCTTTGCTTAAAGTTAAAAAAAAATCAAAATGCCTATCAAAATAAGTGCAAGTGCCAAAATTTTTTAAACTTTTGAGAATAATATCTTCACACCACTTGACCAAAATTGATAAAATTTTTTTTGTGTAAATTTGATAAATATATAGAATTCAAATAAATAAAAATTTATCAGTTTTGACCAATGTTTGTAGAGATACCTTTGATCAAAGGTAGAGAAAAAATCAAACCACCTAAAAAACAAGTACAAGTGCCAAAATTTTTTTAAAATTTAAGCAATAATTTCTTAATAACCACCTGATCAAAATTGAAGAACTTTTTTTTGAATTCAATAAATCTACAGAATTTAAATTAAAAAATTTGTTAATTTTGATCAGATGGTTGTGAAGATATCTTTACTTAAAGCTAGAGAAAATCAAAATATGAAGCTGTAGCAAAATTTTCAAAACTTTGAATGAAGATATCTTCACAACCACCTAGCCAAATTGATAAAAACTTTTTTAGATAAATTCTATTAATATATACAATTCAGATAAAAAAAAGCTCTATTAATTTTGGTTAGATATTGTAGAGATATCTTTGTTTAAATTTTAAAAAATTTGCTATAACTTCTATTTTGATAAATATTTTGATTTTTCTTTGATATTGAGTAAAGATATTTTCACAACCATCTGACCAAAATTGACAAATTTTTCTTATTTAAATTCTATAGTTCCATAGAATTCAAATAAAAAATTAATAAATTTTAGTCAGGTAGTTGTCTAGATATCTTGATTAAAATTTTTAAAAAATTTTACTTTGCTGCTTTATAAGAAAAATGGTTCAAATAGGCATGGATGGGCCTTTGTAGCATAGGTCAAAATCTGGATTTGTACAGTTATAGTCCAAGTTAGTACAGAGTATGCTTGTGCCAATTGGACCATAAATAGTATAGATTTTGTTACAGTTTACTAGTTAAATCAGTATGAGATTTGGTACAAGTAATAATATATAAATTCATATACTACTGCAATAACAAATAACAAACATGACATGTTAAACCATAAAATTTACATTAGTAATCAATATAATATAAACAAACTAATTGCATGTGAAGCAAAATTTTGTAAGGAATCTTTTTAGTTAAAATACTTAGAGCAGCTTTATTAGTAAAATTGTACTTTTTTAAAAAAATTTCATTCACTCTCCATGAAATGAGCCAACATATACACAACATATACATATGTGTCATCTGAACATGTTGTTCTATTTACCGTGATTTAATATGCCACCATTAAAGAATTTGTGTTAACCTACCAACACAAGACAGTTTTAAGTAATTTAATTTTAACTAAAAAATTAAAAACAACTTGCCAAAAATTAAAAAAATTTTCTACAACTTAAATTTTTTGAAACTTGAACAAAATATTCAACACCCTACTGGCCAAAATAGATAAAAATTTTTATTTGAATTCTATGAATCTATAGAATTCAAATAAAAATTCTCATCTACTGTACTTATTTTTATTTAATGTTACTTATTATTTAAAATTCTAGATAGCAGTTTCTATAATGAACTGACGGATCTGAAAGAAGAGAATCTCATCATAGGAAATTACTACGCCTTATTAAAGAGCTCATTGTGCTATTTAAATCAAATTTTTATAATAAAAATTTTGATTTGTTAATCCAGAATTAATTACAGTGAGGTTCGTAAAAAAATAAATTTTTACATTCTTTGCTAAAAAAAAGGTTTGTTAATTAATATATTCGCCAAATTTTATTATATGATATAAAAGAATAGGTGGTTTTTCGTTGCGAAGTGACATATCAATTTATCCTTACACTGTAAGCTGAATTGCCGGTACGTAGGTACCCAATCATCTTCACATTTCTAGCCCCTCAGAATTGCTTGGCAATACAAATACATACGTACGTACATCGAAAGTCCTTAGATTATTAATATTTATACACGTCGGGCATTTAAAAGTAGTACAAGATCGTGATTTCAAAGGACCCAAAAAGTGAGCGAAGAAATAAAAGGATAGAGAGGCTGTGTGCTAAAAAGAATACATTTTTCAAAGATTACCGAACAAACCGATTTAGTCTTCTTATGATACCATATACTCTTAGATTAATAATTTGTCGAGCAAATTGCAGGCAAAACAGAGTAAGGGGAGGGCCAGAAAACACGTGTTTTTTTATTTTGACAAAATTACCCCCTCCCCCCTAGGTTTCTTATCTTCTTTATTTTTCTATATATAGACGTGTTTTTTGAAACGACCCCTCCCCCCAAAAGAAAACACGTCCCTCCCCTAAGAGATAATCAACTAAGTTGGTTTCATAACATGAAAATTTTTTTTTGCGAATACCCGATTAGTTTAGATGATCGATTTCCAATCTAAATAATAGTGACCAATGTTCTAAATTAATCAAGTATTCGGTATTTGTAAAACTATTTTCAACCAATTCAAAACCAGCGATAAAAATATAAAAAAACTTTTTTTTTAGAAATTTCCAAAATTAAACCTAGCTGGGTTGTGAATTAATTTTGTATGGTCTATTTTTATCTTATCGTTATATAAATAAATATCGTTTATATGAAATTTTAAAGTTACATATGTTATTTGTTGATTCACAGAAGACGTATGACTATTCTGGATGATCCTGAATTGACAGTAATCAATAAACGACAATATCGGTTCTGAATTGACAGGAACCAATCCCTATAAAAAAAGTCGATCCGCGTTTTATATTCCGTAAATGTTGCATATTCACAGAATTTATAACCTTAAATCATGGCTTGTTTTGTCGCCCACTGAAAATAACAGATAATGAAAATACGTATTTGGATAAAATTTATTACAGAAATAAATAAACGGCGCATAATATTGTTTGATGTGAAATTTTGTTAGTTGTTTACCTTAACAAAGCGAATAATTATTTGCTCATCTCACCTTATTAATATTATGAATTTTAGATGCACATTTTCTCTTCGAATAAATTCTTAATTTTTAACCTTTAAAAACCTGATTGG